GAGGTAAGATTCCCATTGACACATTGGTGGATTCTACCAGAGATGGGTTGTTTACTCTCCCTGAACATTAAAGCAATGCTTGCAAATTCCCTCTGTCCACCTAAATCCTCCTTCTGCAGTCCCAGAGTTGAAACAGTTGAACGTCGCTGTCACCAGCTAATTTCCAAGTGGTATCCCCAACGCTAGCCCTATCTTAGAAGCCAGGCTGGAAAGGTGCATATTGGGTCTTGTCTAGAAAGAGCAGGCACACGCGATGTCAAAAGAACTAACTGAGTCTGACAGTGTGTAGGCTGGAGGTCAGAGCAGTCTACCCATCAGGCATCGCCTACTGAGTACTCGAGTTTTTCTGATGCCCTTGCACCAGCACAGACACACTGGATGGTCAACAAGTCCAGTCCCTTCTCCCAGGCACTTGGCTGACCACACTGCCCCCCTCACTTGTAGTGGGCTACAAGTGTGCTGTTTAACTCCCCAAATAACTATGTAATCTTCCACACTGACCCTTTGTTCCTACATGTAGATTGAATGTAGCTGAATATAGAAAATCTAGAAGAGCTCTTCAGAACCAGAGAGAATTCCAAAGTTCTACAGCAGAGCCGCACACAGAAAGGATCCTGCACTGCTAAGTCTTCCCATGGAGCTCTGTCCAGAAACCCCGCCTCACCAGGTCCATTCACACAGGACAGAGCAGTGAGAAGCTTTGTTGTGCTAAATCACTGAAATCTGGGAGTTGTTTATTACAGCTCTGATCTACCCAAATCTCTGCCCTGCTGAGTTTTCTACCCTAGTGGTTCTTCCAACTTTCCCCAAGATCCTGCTTCCCAGCTTATTTCCTTTCCTGAAGAAAATAAAAAGAAACAAACAAATATCTCTTAGGAGCAGAAGGAAACACAGCTGCAAAGCAAACAGCCACCCCAAGGGTCCCCTGCGCAGTGGGCAGCTTGCCAGGCTCCAAGGAGAAGGCTCTATCTTTCCATCAGCGTCCACCCCCAGCCCCACCCTTTCACTGTGAGGGGACATATAGTCAGTAGTTTCCAACTCCATTGTTTCAAGGCAAATATTAGCTTCAACAATCAAATCCTGCCGACCTCAAGTCCCCTGCAGCCTATGCTGATTTAGGGATGGGGCTGGGAGGATGGATTACTCCGAATCTCCTTCCTACAGAAACCTCCTTTCCCCACACACCCTCATGACCACTGAGAGCTGGCCAGTCCTGAGCACTACTCACATGGTCCTGCCTGCGGGTCAGGTTGTAGGCAAGGGGAGGGTCACGCCACAGCGAGCCTAAGGTCAGGTCCTGGCTGGGCGTGCACGTACAGCTAAAGCAGAGGATGGTTGCTGATGCGCTTGGGGACGGTCTCAGAAAAATAGCGCTGCAGCCCGCCTCTAAAGCAGGCACCCTCCAGGCTCCCGGCCACGCAGAGGTGGCAAGGCACTGGAACTGGCCGTTTGGCTTTGGAAATTCTTTGAAGATTTAATGGAAAGGTGTCTCTAGCACCCAGATGTCAAACCCAGAGAAAACGTTTGTCCATAGTAACGGGGACGTTCTCCTCCCGTGTCTGGGTTCCCCCTTCTGCCATTTGAATGTGAACCTCAGGATGGCAAGGGCTCTGCTGGGCTCCTCCTCTCCCCAGCCCCAGGAACAGTTCCTGGGGCTTAGTTACCACACCCTGAGTGAACGGCTAAAGGCGGCCAGGGTTGGTGGCCCTGGAGACCATCACACATGACAAACAGGACGCCCGTCAGCAGAGGCCTCAGCGTCCTCGCTGTGCAGCGCCCGACTCAGAAAGTGACAACCACCCTTGTGAACAGGCTCCGTCCAGAGAGTTTTTCAAGCCTCCTCTTTAGGGGCCGGGGGTGAGGGGACGCCACCATCTCAGTTATGGAATACACCTTTCCCTTTTCTTTACTCCCACTCTAAAGTGGGGTTCTAAGTGTGTTTCACTTTCCCCCTGATGCTAGACCCACACTGCTGAGTCACAAGGGGCCCCAGGGCCAGCAGAGTGTCGGGGACTCCCTGGCCCCACTAGCTATGTGAGCCCTCCCCAGTGCGAGCATCTGAGAAGCTGGGAGAGGAGACTCACAGGCAATGTCACGACTCCTGCCCCTGCATGACCCTCTGCCTAGAACTCTAGAACCTCCGAAATCCTCTTGTAGACTTCCTGAAACCTCGAAGAGCTGAGAGGCAGGGAAGCTGCCCCATCGTCTTTCGGGTTCCCGGATCCCACAACTCCTCCTCACTCTGCTGGTAAGGCCGCTGCCAGCCTGTGTTAGCTGCCTCCCACACCACGACCAGGCCCAGTGTGACACCTGTAGCTCCCGGCCATGCACCCCGCTGCCAGCTGTCCTTGAAAACTGACCATGCCCTGACTCAGCTGTATTTCACCGGGGCCCCCTCCCCCACGCTGGGAGCTGGCTGCCAGTCGTGGGCACAGAGCCTGCCATCAAAACTCCATACAAGGAGCCCATGGCCTCTCCTCCTTTCCTTCCGGAGCCCTCTGCCCTCCCTCCAGAGAAGCAACCCAAACCCAAGGTGTTGCTTTTGGTCATTACTTACTGCCATGAAATTCTTACGCACTACCTTGTTTCCTTTCAACCCTCCATGGAAGTTCCCAAAGGAAAAGGTGGAAAATGTAATGGGGAAGCTGATACAGCTTGGTAGAGCTGTCTCGGGCTGTAAGAGCCTTGAAGTCTGGGCTGCAGAAGCAGGTGCAAAAGGGGGTACCCAGCTCAACATTTCTCCCACTTTCTGCTTTCTCTCAGCAGCTGGTCATTTAGGGCTCTCCCACCCTCCTGTGTCACTCTCACCAGTGGGCCAGCGGCCTCTGCCCCTCCCAGGCACCTCTCCCTCCAACGGACATTGGAATTGAACTTCCTATTGCTACATTAAATACGTGGAGAAGAGAAGGCGGGTTTAAGAGCTGGAGGGTGGGAAAGGCCACTTGGCAGGATGGCTCCAGGGGGAGGGGCGGTGGAGAGCCTGGCTCTAATCTAGGCAGCCTGGTGTCCGGGCCTCAGTCCACATGCGTAAAGTGAGAGTTTTAGGCACCAGTGATGTCTAACTCATGGTGTGAAGACCTAAGGAGCTAGCCGCCCTCATCCCCCTGCCTGGTCAAGACTCCCTCACCCTGTACCTACAAGGCAGCATTGCCCCCCGCCCCCGCAATCCCTCGCCCTCCGCCTTCCGTGTTCCACGTGTGTCTGCACAGGACTGCAGCCTGGCTAATATGTTTATGTCTATGCTGACCAATGGTCTCTTCTTGTCTTTCCCCTGCCCATTCCTGCTAGCCAGCAAGAGGTTCCTCAAACCCTCCCCTCCCCTGTGGCCTCTGTTCATATCAGCTCCACACCCCCTCTGCCTCCTGTTGTCCCAGGCAGCACCCGACCCTGCCAAGCTCCACTCAGCTATCCCTCGCAGGCACACCTTGGGACAAGCTGACTCATCTAACCTTCACACCACTGCGTAGACACCACCAGTATCTTCACTTTATGGATGAGGAACAGAGATGTGGAGGTCAAGTCGCGTGGGTCTGGAGCCAGACTGTCCACCCCCACTCTTCAACCAGCCAGCCAAGTGGCCTTTCTCACCCCCCAGCACTTAAACCCTCCCTGCCCAGAGCCAGGCCACTGATTCAGTGCAGCCATAGCAAGTTCAGTTCCCAGACCTGCTGTGGAATAAAGTACCAGTGCAGAAGTTGGCATATGCGGGCCAGTGTCCTGGACCTGGCCCGAGGGCTATAACCATATAGTCTCTTGATTCTGTGCCCAGGACAAGCTTCTGTCCCTTTCCAGGGCTCTTCCCTGCCAACGCACTGGACAGAGTTGTTTGAGACGCCCCCACCCCCACCAGCGGCCTAAGAGAAGGCAGGCAGTGCGGCAGGGCCATCCAGGCGGTCCCCAGGAGGTGACCCAGCGCGGCATGCCGATCCAGTCCGCAGTCCGCAGATCCCGGGCGCTTGCTGCTCCCTGGCGGCCAGAGCAGAGCGGGAACCCAAAAGCCAAGAATTGCGCCTTGTAATTCCGCGCCCCAAGGGCACCCAGCAACTGACCGCTAGGCTAGGAAAGCGCTGGAGAGGGGGCTCGCGGTCCAGGGAAAGAGGGGGAGAGGGGCTCCGGGAGAGGAGCAAGAAAAGAGCTCGGAGCGGACCGCTGGAAGAGGGCGCACGTGAGCTCCCGCAGCGAGGCGTCCGCCGTGGGCTCGGGGCGCAAGGCAGCTGCCCCCCGCGACCCGGGAAAGCAGCTCAGCGGCTCTCCGAGCCCTTTTTGCCGGCGGGCGTGGGTGGCGCCCCGTCTCTCCGCGCCGGTCGCCCCCTCCTCCTTCCCGACGCCGCCCCTCCTCCGTCCCGCCCCCTGCGCCCAGTGGCGAGCACCGCAGTGGCCGCTCTCTGCACCGCCCGGCCCGGGAGCCACCGCTTTGCCCGCTCGCCGGGGTACACCGAGAGAGC